GGAAAGGGAAAGGGAAAGGGAAAGGGAAAGGGAAAGGGAAAGGGAAAAGTAGACCCTGATATAGGAGAGAAATCCCAAGCCGGAGGGATTGGATTATGAAGCTGTTACTGCAGCTTCATAAATATTGAATACCAATTACCCCTTTAGGGGGTATTGGCACACCAACAGGAACATTTTCTGTATGCCACTCTGTCACTGCCTTTAGTTAACAGTCTGCAAGTTTGCATTAGTTCTGACCTAGGTGCCCTGGTACTGGTGGAGAAGCAGTGACAGGCTGCACCTCATGGCTTCTGGAAAGCATGGCTACGTCACTGTCGCCTTCTGCCCAACCATATCATAGGTTACTGCCTCTGTGACAGAGAGGGCCAAAGCTGTGCTTGTGTGTTAGCAGCCACAGATTGCAGTCCCTCCTCTTTCTTTGAAACCATCAGGAAGCTGAGCTCTTGCTGCCCTCCTGTGAACTGTGTTAGCCACCGTGCATAGCCACCTCCCATCCCACTGTCTTTGCCACAAATAGCCGCAACCTTTAGCTGATGGACAGGATGAGAAGCAAAGGGAAACAAATAGCTCCAAGTGCAACAGCTAGAGACAGGGCCACAGCGCAAATGAGTCAGCACAGCCCCAGCTGTACCAGCTACAGGCTGGCTTTGCTTACCGGCTGCATGCCAAAGCACAAAGGGAGAACTTCCCAACTGCTTGTCATTGTTACAGTGAGTGCAGTACAGCTATATCTAAGGCTTTGTCTTAAGACGGGCAGCATGCTGCTTCCTGTCCTTCCTGCCTGGAATTTTTCACAATCTGGGCAGCACCAGGGATGTTTTCACAACACTGGTGTATTTGGGAGCATGGCCTTTCCCCCCTGGCAGTACCTCAGATGTTGTTAAGACTGTAGTATTTCAGTACTGCTGAACAGCACTTGCAAACCTCCACTGTGGACTGTTCCACTAAGTTTCATGCAGTCTTCTACGCATTTCTTTCCCTGGTCAATCATGTGTATATGTGTTCATTTACAGTGACTTCTAGGAATGTTTTGCCATTGTACAAACACTTTCAAAGGTACTTTTTGAGTGAAGGAGGGTGCATTTTCATTGATTCTTGCTGCTGATGTTTCAGTCATCCAATTAGGAAACACAAACAATGCAATGTGACCCACACATACCAAATAAACAGGATGAGTGAGTACCTGAAATACACAGTCTGAAATTTGTTTGCATGAGCTGCTGTAAGATCAATTCAAAAACCAATCTTAGTGGAAATCAGTTTTGGAAAAAAGGCAACACATAGGTCAAAATCATTACATATTTTGTTCACAACAAAGATTACAAAGCCAGTGATTTCGTAGTATTAAGTAGCACAACCAGTGATCAATTGTAGGAAATAACCTGGGAAACCATGGCGGTGTTTGAGCTCTCAAATTCAAATTACAAAACAGAAAACTTCCTAATTTGTCCTCAGAGCATGGAAAGTAAAGTTTATTTACTATATATAGATCATAAAATCACATTTTTACAGCATTCGTAAGACACCTTAGACTACAGCATTTTGTTAATGATAATACATAATGATAAAACACTTGCTTCAGTTATATGAGATCACATATATTACATATTGTTCCAATGTGTTCTGAAGTAACATTCTGCTAATGCAACACCCCTCTTTTTCCTACGAGGAGATTCACTAATCTGCTTTCACAAAGTTAACTTGCTTTGAGATTTAATTTAAAAAAGAATAAATCAATTTTTGTGCACATTTGTATATTGTAATTCCTAACATTTGATATAATGAAACACAAAAGCAAAATAAACAGACATTCCAGAAATTGTATTTCGTTATTGCTGTGCTAAATAACCCTCCATAATTCTCAGTCTCTAAGCAAGAGCATAATCAAACTGGCCTTTCTCCAGCCCATCAAGTCCATCAGCCCAGGTTGAGGTTGGCATACTTTGGTAGGGGTCAAGCAGAATGCGGAAGCAACGAATGATGAGGATTCCCAAGAAAATAAATAACAAAATCACAAAGGCAAAGGTTGTTTTCTGTTCCAGGGTCATGCTAGAATCTGGTGTCACATTCCCAGATGGCACCAAAGTGGCAGTGAATATCTCTCCGTTCATCATCCAGGGAAGATGAAACGAATAATCCCACAGTCTCCTCCTTTTCATCATTAGTTTGCTAAGGCCATAGTAGAAGCCATTTAGATGCACTTTGTTATCTGTGGGGCAAGGGGAGAAGCAATGTTAAATGTGAATAGCCCTTTTGTTTGTTTACTTCAATGCAACTTTCTCCTAGTGAAGAATAATTAGACGAAAAGAATTAGAGAACAGTTTTGCTTGCCTCTCTGTGTCATGTATGCGAGACCTACAGGAATCTCATTTTGCTTTGTTGGTAGTGCAGAGTCCAGCCATTGGTGCTAAATGTCACCAGAACCTGAACTAGCAGCAGTCTCTCTGCTTTACCTTGTCACTCAGACTAGGGCAGAACACTTCTTCCTGCAAAGGATAAAGGAAGGTTTTGATCACACAGCTCCATTGGCTTACCTACAGAAACAGCAAGTGGGAAGCAAACTGCGTGCGCTGTTGCAGGACAGATGAACTAGATGAACTACAGTTGATAGAACCCTAAGTGGGGGCTTGAAAGACAAGTGTATTTATGGCTTTAAACACAGTGACCCAAAATGTTTTGAGGTGGGATGATTCAGGATCTGATACAGGACAGTTGAATACATGTCTCTCCAAGATGGAAGGCAGTGACCATTCAGTGTATTGTAACATTGCATCATTTAGGAGGAAAGTGCATAAACTGTTCATGTTTGAAATGAGAGGAAAATATTTAGGAAAATACCCTAAAATAAGTCAATTGATAATTGAGCTTAAAGGCGAATGTTTCCTCTTCTTACTTAAAACCACAGTAAGATTTAGAAATGTTGTTAGCAAGCACATGGTATTTATGTCATCTGCCCATTGGCACCAGAAGGACTGCCAAGACTTCTGAATGAATTTGTTTCTGGACAGCAGGGCACATGCTGCACCACCACCAGACTGGCACTTGAGCAGCCATCACCATCTGCCTGGGTGTCTGCTAGACTCTCAATTCTGGGTTCTGCATCCTGTGGGAAGGAGGAACAGCTGGATGTCAGCAGGTATGACCTGTGATACCGCCAATATTACCTGAGGTGTATCTTCAGGAAAAGGAACAAGGAAGGCTAAAGGGGGAGCTGATCTTGTCATGCCAATTGTAAGAGGAAGAAATAGGAACAGACGAACACAACACTGTGGATAATATGCACATAGTGGAACTTCTACACAGTTAGATCTGCTTTGCCACTGGTCTTGGGTCAGTCATACTGTCATATTGCTGGAATTATTCTAAAAAGTACGCCTCAAATAAAATGGAGGAATTATTAAAGCAACACAAATACTGGCAGTGCATGGCTATTATTCCCTGTTTCAATTCAATTCAGCTTCAACTGATGATCTGATGAAACAAGGAGTTCTTTGCTCACCATCGGTTGTGAGGAAATGAATGAACAAGCACCTTACGTGCTAGGGTAAGTTTAGGTTGGATACCAGAAAAAATTTATTTGCAGGAGTTGTTAAGCATTGGAAGAGGGTCCCCAGGGAGGTGGTTGAGTCACCACCCCTGGATGAGTTTAAAAAACTTTTGGATGTGGTTCTTAGGGACACGATTTAGCAGAGGGTTGTTAGAGTTAGGGTAGTATGGTTAGGTTGTGGTTGGACTCGATGAATCTTTAAAGTCTTTTCCAACCCGAGTGATTCTATGATTCTGTGATGGTTGAAAGGATAGGAAAATCCAAAATTGAAACATCCAGTCTTTTGAAAGTGTGTTTCAGATATCAGCTGACAAAAAAAATGTAGAAATGTTGGGGCTGGATGGGATTTGAATCTTTCCAATGCAAACCATTCTATGGTTCTATGATTCTAAGATTCTGTGGTTTTGTGATTCTATGATTCTAATTTGGCTTCAGGAAACTCTACAGCACACATATTATTACATCATGGACTTTAATGTTGTTAAGAATATGCTGTCAACTGTACACATATTATATACGCTTCTCCCAGACTGCAGTCTCAAGATCCAGTATCCCAGGTTTGCTCTCACATATCCAAGGGTTCTAGGAAATGCTTTCCTAGTATTTTTCTAATTGTTATCTGAATGCTGTAGGTAACTATGGGAGAAAATGACGAAGATGGAGAATCTGCAACTGTCAGGAAAGTCCAGCTTTTGATAAGCAGGTTTAAGCAGGGTCAAGCTTAGAATGCACGTAAGTCTCAGCAAACAGTATCTTTCCAGTTTTTGAAGAAACTTGACTTCAGAAAGATATATGCAATCAATGGCTCAGCAACAAGCATATGCAGTTCAATATTTTCTTTAGGTTCTGAGTAGGCACTTCTTCTTGATTATACAGAGAAGAGCCAGATAGTTGTTTTCATACCATTAAAGCTATTCACTGAATACAGGAATGGGCAGAATGTCCAATAATTTTACACTTAAGAGCTTTTCACACTCTGAATGCTAATCTTTATGCTATAGATTCTATGCAACAAAATAGCAAGACTGCATTGCAAAGCTGAAAGGAACATATTTTCTAGGCTTTGGGCAGCAGACAATTTTCTGAGTACAATCATTACACTGTATGATTGCAAGGTTTCAAGGGGCAGGTGGTTTGTCTACAGGATGGCATGGCACCTGGCATAACCACATCCTTTGCTCTGTTTGGACCACTTCTACTGCAAACTAAAACGTAAGTGAGATTGTTGTCCGTTTTCTGTGCACCAAAATAGCATTTAACTGTCCCTAGTGATACAAGTACACAGGTACTTGAAAGCAGAATGTAATTAGCTAATGACATAGAGTTTTTTTATAGGCAGAGATAATTAGTCTGGCCTGGATGCACCTTGGCACTTTGGCCACAACAGTGTGGTCTCCCACATTCCTATTCCTGTCTGCAGTAGCTGGTGAACATTGCACAGGAGATCCTGGGCCTGATATCTCATTCCCTGCCAGCCAGTGCCGATTGTGTCAGCAGAGCTTCACTGGAGCCAGGCATGATTTACTCCTTCCTGTTGAAAATGTTCACTGTCTAGGGACCACCCAGAAATGGCAACGTAATATTAAGCTGTATTTTCTTGTATGAGAATGACTGCAGTCCTCACGAGAATCTTCCAGCCTCCCGAACTCCATCCCACCTCTGTGGCTTGATTGAAGGCTGACATGAGAGAACTTTCCAAGAAGGCCAATGGCATCCTGGCTTCTATCAGAAACAGTATAGTCAGCATGAGTAGGGATCGAGTCCCACTGTACTCGATACTGGTGAGGCAGCACCTCAAGTACTGTGTTCAGTACAAGGAAGGCAATGAGGCCCTGGAGTGTGTCCAGAGAAGGGCAATGAAGCTGTGAGGGGTCTGGAGAACAAGTCTTATTGGAAGATGCTGAGGGAACTGGGATTGTTCAGTCTGCAGAAGAGGAGGCTCAGGGGAGACCTTATCACTTTCTACAGCTCCGAGAAAGGAAGTTGTGGTGAGGTGGGGGTCAGCCTCTTTTCCAATTTAATAGCAATAGGACTGAAGTTGCACCAGGTGATGTTCAGGTTGGACATGACAAAAAACTTCTTCTCAGAAAGAGTGGTGAGGCACTGGCACAGGCTGCCCAGGGATGTGTTGGAGTCACCATCCCTGCGGCTGTTCAAGAACCGTGTCACTGAGGGACATGGTGGTGATGGGTCTGCAGTTGCACTAGATGTTCATAGTGGTTTTTCCCAATATTAATGATTCTATGTTTTCTATGTTTTTAGTTTGTTCCAGTCACTGAGAAATGAGGCAAGTTATGCTATGGAAAAGTCTCAAGGTTGTTTAAAAATGAGTTGATGGATTCGTCTAGGTGCAGACCTTTTTCTCATATCTTAGATAAATATAAAAATGATAGAACAAACAGATTATCCTTCATTTAAATAACTAACCCTGCTTTTATTTTTTATTTTTATTTTTATTTTTTTAAGCACAGGCATGCTATTCAATTACTTTCTATAATGGATTCCTAGCAGATGTGACTAATCCATTGTTTAATAAGTACACAGCTGCACATCACTCTATCCGTATCAGGTTCTTATTATTATTTCTCCTTGCCAGTGTGCGCACATCCATTATGTAGTTCAATTATGCATCTTCCTGAGGTGGGGCTTACATTCTAAGATACTAAATTTTTAAAGAAACAAAGAAATGGAACTGATATTGCATACTATTAGAAGCACTGAGTCAGCATATTAGTCCTTAGTACATCCTAAGAATTAATAAACTTCATACAGTTTCAGATGCCTACCTGTAACCCACTAGGTAACTTATTAGCACACAACATGGTCAGTGTCACCAAATAACAGTTTTTTTCTAGGTAAGCCACCATGGTTTTTGAAGCTAAAATGACACTAAATTAGTTAGATAATAGAGCACCTTTCTGGGCTTTCAGCATCTCATTTGTATCAAAGTCGACTGTAGTTGAAAATAGCTCTAGAATAAAAGAATTTCCTTAGGGAAATTGTAAAGATTCTTACTTTTAAAATGGTAGGACAAATGGAAAGAATGATTTCAAGAGCTGCACCTATAGGAATAACATACTTACTAATAAGGCATTAAATGTGAATTTTTCTCTGTTGTTTAAACAGCCCTTCCTCTTATTACCATATGCAACATAAATGGCAATACAGACATGTGTGCATTTTTATTGTGAAAATCTTGTATGCTTGTGAGAAGTCACAGACAAAGAAACTGTAAGAAATCATATTCACATTTTGCTGTAATTTCACTTCCACGCTTTTTCTGAATTTCGCTGTCCTACCCATTCATAAACTTTTCAGAGATCATGTTCACGTGGTTGCAGAATGGCACAAATACTCAAAAACACAGCAAAGACTTCACAAATGACCTTCAGGCTAATCACTCTGATAAGCATTGGTGGCCCCTCATCTTCCAAAAGCAATGAGGAAGTGATAACTCAAGAAACTATTAAAGACATTCAAATTAAAATTCAATATACATAGTCTATGTGAACCTGGATTTAAAGCATTTAATGAAAAAAAAAAAAAAAAAAGAAAGAAAGAAAGAAAAAAAGGTTAAAAATAAAACACCATATAGAGTAGCAACAACTGTTTATTACTGTTTCTTGGCAGATCATTCACATTACTGTTCTATATATCACATAAAACAGGCATTTGAAATGACCAGGTTGAAAAAACCTTCCTGAGTCATGGGCATGTATGGTGCTAACTAGACCCAAGGCCAAGCTACCATTCTAATTACTTAATTATCATCTAGCCTAGTTACACTTTTGACCTTGCAGAATTTAAGTGATAAAGATTAAATTAAGTAATGATTGCATCAAGGCCAAGGCTAAACAGAATATTCTTCTCTCTGTTTCATGTAAACCCCTGAGAAATTTTCTATGCCCTTTTCTCATTCACTTGAGAATTACTGGAGTAGTGTGAGGACAGAATATGGTCTTGTGACTGTGCTAGGTGCTTCACAGTGTATGTACAAAATTTCGGTATCCTATGTTAGTGGAGCAATTGGGTTTCCATTATGAAATATCTCATGGAATGTAGCAAGCACACAACGGCGCCAAGCCCATGTGCATGATTTTCCTATACCACCCATACTAGTTTCACTGATTACTCACTTCCTTAGCTACAAAACACATGGCAAGTCTCTTCAGGCTCAAACATCTGTATGCAAACTATTTGAGCAAAGATACTCTCATGTGCTCACAGCTCAGTTGCTGTGACAGACATTTTAAGCCTGCTGTTGGTAAACAAAACTTGATTACAGAAAGGTATGAGGCTAAATATTAAATTACATATTCCCTGCCCTTGTATTAAAATTTGCCTTGCATTGAACTGTGCTTTGCAACAATCAATCACAGCACACTCTAAGTGGGTATATTAACAACACCTACCTTTTTTTATATATTTTGTCTTTTCTTGTTAAATATTTGTTATCAAACTGATATTGCTTTCTTTGCATATACATGTATGTATCATCTTGTTAACAGCTCTTTGCATGATAAATGACAATTTTGGTGTGCCCTTCAGCTGTTTACATTATTAAAGCAAATTGATAGGGTTAACTTTAGCAAAGCTAGAGAGCAATCAGCCTTTTTTTTTTTTCTAGACCATCTCTATTATGATGTACCTCGCTTCTACTTAATGCACCATGGAAGGCTGAAAGAGAAACCTCACCTTTGAAAGATTACACATACCCTAAGCTGTGTGAGGATGACTTATGCAGAAAAAAAGCCAAAGTTAGTCTAAAAGATTGGATTACTCACTGTGTTTGCTGAAGTAATTGTTAGCTTTATGAATGCTATCTGTGAAGATCTGAAAGCAAGAATCCGTGAAACAGCCAAGTATTTACACCATCCAGGAGCCTGTGCAGTGGTTTCAAATATGTACATGACAGACACTTTCCCTTCCTCTCTATTCCTTCTTCTTTTAGAAGGAGAGCATACAGGTACTCAGTCATCAGTGTTGGAAATCTTTTCTGAAAACAGTATCTTAAATGTGTGGTTGTAATAAAATAATAAAACATGCTAAAGCCTTTAAAAGCAGTAATATAATTAAAATCCTTACAGACTCTATTGTATATGAATCGGCAGATAAGCAATTTTTTGCCTTAAGTCACAAATCCTTATACCACCTCCCCACTTCCCTTCTCAAAAAAATCATTTTCAGCTCAAAATGACATGGAATAGTAAATGATAAATTCTAATATGCTTTCTGAAAAGAAAACAGCAACATAACTGATACACATAACAAACAGCAACATAATTGGTGCACATTCATTTAATTATTGTAAATTTTAAGTCAAACGTCAATATTCCTGATGTACTCTGTAGAGTTATTGTATCTAGATGGTATTAATCTTGCATATATAATATAAGAGTTGTAAGTTTTTAAAATAAATAAGGAAAATTAGATAATCAATTTCTGTGAAAAAAATACCTTGATCTAGTTGAGAGGAAACCTGACCCATTTCCCACTGCAGCAGTTACAGGTAGTTACAAGTTGTACTGTTAGTTTCCATTCTTCTGTACATTTCTTCTGTTTCTAAGCACAAAAGATCAGGATTGCAAAGGCATTGATGAAAACACAACTTCAAAACCTGCCTTTTAAAGGCTTAGATTTTCTTTTCAAAAAAATAAAAGCAAACTAGAAGGAGAATCATATTCATGTGTTAGAAGCAATTGTCTGACAATGCTGTAGTTCTTTAAAGGGAAGCTACAATTTCAGTTCTGCCTCAGCAACACTTCTGTGGATTCTGCTTCACTGAGTACAGCAGTAGCCTAGCAGGCTGTCTGAAACCATCTTTAGCTGAACATTAACATTCAAAAGGTGTACAAAAAAAAAAAAAAAAAAAGAAAGAAAAAGGCAGGGGATATTCCCACATACATATGCATACATATATTATATATATATATATATATATATATTCCCAGAGGTATAGTCTGCTAGTGTTTCTCTCTTATTCTGTATTGATTGTTGTCAGTAACCTTTCTTTATTTTGGCAGTAAATTCACCTTTTATCAGACAGTCTCCATTGATGACAATTTGTGATCTTCTGTGAAATACATTAACCTTTTCAAATTGGTTATAAGCTATAAATTAAAAATAATTTATAAATATATGAATCAATACTTACTAAACTTCAGTGGATCACATGCATACCAGTGGTGCATTTTCTTAGAAAATAAACTGACCTTAAAATGCAGTATGCTCACTAATATTTACTGCTCAACTTTTATCTAGAGGTTTTTGCCCTGGGAGTTGTTCTTGTTTCCACCTACTAAAGCTGCCCTTGATATAGCCACATTTTATTTTGAGGAATAATAACTAAAGCAAGAAGGTTCCTGTTTTCCTTTCCCATGGGAAAATAAAGCCGGTTTCAGTATGTCAGTCACATAGACTCATTAAAAAATTTAAGGTGTTTTTTCCCCCCAAAGTTTCTACTTACTTAAAAACAGATAAAACCACACACAGAGATTCCTAACCATTCAGGGGTGACAGAACGTCATTCATTCTTATCTTTTAAGAGTACATATCCCATCCTGCCATAGATCAAGAAAGGAATATGGGATAGTAATCTCTTTTCATTTTTCATTCAGATTTCTGATATGGAAAATGGATTTGAAGCTCAAATCCAAACAATCTTCCTTTCTCTGCCCAATGTGCATTTTCCTGTGGAAGCATCCTTTATTTAGAACTCTAACTTTGCCAACTGCATTGTGGTTGGCAGGGTTAATGTTGTGGAGTGTGGGACCATGGTACTGTGCATTTTATAGGACAAAATATGCTTTCACAGATAAGAAAAAGCTGCTGTTTAGATTACCACAATGCAGAGATGATCATTTTGTGGACACCCATGTACAGAGAAACCCACACTCCCGTGGGGGACTATTTTAAAGCCATTCACAGCCTGTCTTCTCATGCTTTACACAGTGAAAGAAGGAAGCACCTCTTTTCACTCTTTTCTACCTCCTTGTTCTCCTTTACACACAGACATTCATCACTCTGATGTGTTGTTCTGCATCCTCTGAGTCCCTCAGGATCTTTTTGCTGTAGACTGGCTTCAGAAATGGGTATCTTAGGCCCACTGCTTCTCTCCTTGTGGGTCAACCTCAAATTTTTCTTTCTCCTTTCTTCAGGATTTTCCACTCTCTCAACCTGAAGTCCTGCAGCTAAGGTGCATTTGATTCACCCCACTGCTATAGCAAGCAGTTGGTATACAGATAATTGTCTACCAGTAGCTTCTCCTCCCCACTCTCTCTTGTCTGTGAGATTCATGACAAGACTTGACAAAAGAGGCTGTACTTCATTCCCAAGAAATTTCATTACAGTGATTTTGTAACACCAGGCAGAAGCTTTTTTTTTTTTTTGCATTTATCTTCTCTCAAATCATGCAGTCTCAGTTTTAATAATTCCCTACTGCAGCACCACTGCTCTGTAATCCTGGAAAACTGATGTGTTTTATAGAGTGTCTCAGGGAAACTCCTACTTCCTTTTAAACAGTCCTCATCATGATGCAAATTTCCATCCACTCAGCTCCCAGAACCTGAGAAATTCTGCAAGAGAGGTCTCTCCTGGAGTACTGCGTCCAGATATGGAGTCCTCAGTACAGGAGAGATGTGGACTTGTTGGAGCACGTCCAGGAGAGAGGCATAAAAATGACCCAAGGGACAGAACACCTCTCTTATGAGGACAGGCTGAGAGAGCTGGGGCTGTTCAGTCTGGAGAAGAGAAGGCTCTGCGGAGAGCTGATAGTTGCCGTTCAGTACCCAAGAGAGCTGTAAGATAGAAAGAGACAGACTTTTTAGGAGGGTTTGTGGTGATAGGACAGGAGAAAGTGATTTCAGTCTGGATACAAGAATTTTATGATCAGGGCGGTGAGGCACTGGCACAGGTTGCCCAGAGATGAGGTGAGTGTCCCATCCCTGTAGACATTCAAGGTCAGGCTGGACTGGGCTCTAAGCAATCTAATCTAGCTCTAGGTGTCCCTGTTTATTGTGAAGAAGTTAAACTAGATGGCCCTTCCTACTCAAACAATTCTACAATTCCATGAATCTATGATTTCTTACAGGAAAAATAATTTATAAGAGCATGGATCTGTAATCCAGCAACAAGGGAATTCCTACAGAAGAAGGTTTTGGTTTTTTTTCCCCTATTGCTCTGTATGCATTTTATTAGAGAGAAAAAATAAAAATCAAAAGTAATCCTGGGAAAAAGTTAGTTAACTTTTATAAGCTGTGTACAGGTGCCAAATAATGTGAATTGAACCCCTGACATGGCTTCCATTGTGCTCTTAGCATGTTCTGCTCCCAAAAAGCTACCAGTAGAACCAGAACTTGAGCAGGAAACCTTGGCATCTGTCACACAGTCCCATTGCCTTTTTAGGAAGGGAAGAGGGGAGGACAGACTAGAGAGTTCAACCAAATGCTACTTAGAGCTAGTTTTTTTCAGTCCACTTAATGTTGCTTTAGGCAACATGAAAAGGTTTTGGATGTGACCTTTGGTTTTACCTTGTGGTGCTGGACAGTCTTCCAGGGCCTGGAATGAGTGCATCATATTCAGTCCCAGAGGCTACATTTTTATCTCATTTGAAAGTATAATGTTGAGCATATGCCTTTGAAAGGAAATAGCTCTGACTTCTGAAATACATTGGTATTTCAGGTAATTTCCTATCACACTGCTAACTAGATGAATTTGCATCTGCTGTTATTTAAGAGGAAAGTTCCTTTACTGTTCTTCAAAGAAAACTTTTCTCAGCCAGTACCATTAAAATATTTTCCACAGCTTTGACTTCCTTTTCTACAAACTTGTATTTCACTCTTCATAAATTTTTTGAAGTAGGAGGCTTGGAGGTAATTGTATTTACTATTGACATGGACTAAAGTTCCAAAATCTGTGTCAATCCCAAAAGGTGTAGATAAAGGCAATCTTCCAGGTAACAACTGGATTTTGATTAAAAGCTATAAATGCAGTCCTGCGCATTCACCACAGCTCTCTAAGAGACACTCCTGCCAACTTTTTATGTGCTTCTATTTCTGTCCACCCACACAATTATCATGGACTTTCAAGGGCAGCAGACGGCTGTGTGCAGCCCATGCAGTGCATGCCAGCAGTGATATGCTGAGGGCTTGGAGGCCAGTGTCCCTTTGCAGGCCCTCTGCCACAACCTGCCTTCTCCTGCAGGACTGTAGGGCCAAGTGTTTCAGCTGAGCCCCTCCAGCCAACATCTGGACTTCCTGGAACGGGCTGGAAGGTCAAGTGGGGAGGAAAGCTGTCAGCCCCTTCGGCCTCTTCTCTCCTCAAAAGGGGGGGAAAGCCCACTAGGTTCAGTCAGCAGGTCATGTGTTAAGCTGCTGAACTTGCTGAATCTTCTTTCTTCCTGCAGCGGGCTTTAATGTCCATAGAAATCTGGAACTATTCCTCCTCTGACCTATGTTTGGGTGACAAATGAGCAGGGGCTGGCAGGTTCTGTAAGCATTACGAGCACAGGCAGGTGCTCAACACATTGGCATGGTGTCTGGCCAGCTGTCACTGGGTGAACACCAGCCCCACTCCTCCTGCCAGGCCCTGTGGTGCTTCCACAGGCACCCTCTACATCCACCAGGAAAGACATTTCAAAAACTAAATACATGGGCTGTATTCAGGAGCCCACTGAGTCAGTTGTGCTGTCTCTTCAGGGTAATTTTTTTGCTCGTGCATGCAAGAGGAAGTGTTCTTCGGTGGGCATGCGAAAGTGCTTACATAGGTAATGCCATGTAGATACTGGGGCTCTTCAGCCTGGGGAAGGAAAAAGTGAGAGGGGATCTCATCAGTGCTTGAAAATATGTAAAGGGTGTGTGTCAAGTGGATGGGACCCAGCGACAGGACAAAGGGCAACAGCAGAACGGGAAAATGTGCTGCATACAAACATGAGGTAGTACTTCTTCACTGGGAGGGTGACACAGCGCCGCAACAAGCTGTGGAGCATCTTCTCTGGGGATATTCAAAACACACCCGGATATTTTCCTGCATAACCTAAGGGAACCTGCTTGAGCAGGGAGCTGGACTCTGTGATCTTCAGAGGTCCCTTCCAACCCTTAAGGTCCTGTGAATAACATCCTCTTATTAGCAGACTCTCTGGAGGGTTCCTTGGCTCTGTGCCGCTGCCTCAGGGCAGGCCCAGCCCCGCGCCGCCTGCCTGCCTGGCCTGCCCATCCACCGCGCTGTCAGACAAATGGTCGATGGTCGTTTCTGTGGACTCCCGTGCGTTTATTTTGACACGCTGAAAATAACAAAGAACTGAAGCATTTATAAAGAGTGCCGCAACCCTGAGAATTTATTTATTTATTGCTTCCAGGACAAAGTTCAGATGTCTGAAGGAAAAGTGAATTTACAGCTCTGGTGACCATGTAACCTCTCTGTTCACTTGTCCCATTGAAAAATGGTTATCTTGTGTTTGCATATATTTCTGTCTCATACTGGCCAGAGAAAGCCAGGAGAGATTTTATTCTGCATTCAGTATAAATATCATTCATATTCTGACTGCCAGCA